AATCTTTAAACAATTATTCCACACGTGGCTATTCATGAGTGCCTTTTGGTGTAACCATTGTCTAAAATATTTTCCATGACCATCATTGAAATTATTTAGTTTAATATATTGAATGTTCCGTAGTTTGGATACCGATTGTAATACGCTTCCAGTGATCTCTAGTTCCCCGGAAATTGACAAATACTTGAGTTTTGGATAATTCTTATACATATGCGTAAAAAACACAGAATATTTACTTAAATTAATATAAAACCCACTATGAATTGTTAAATGCGTTAATCGTTTGTAGGGTGTATTTATTTTGATAAATTCACGGGCATAATGAGCAGTTAAATTTAAACGAGTTAATAGTTTAGCGTTTGTTAGAGTTTGTCGTATATTTTGCACACAAATAGTGTTTGCATCACTCATTTGAAAGCAATGAATATTCAAACTTTTTAAATATTTTTGTTTTAACACCAAGTTATTTAATATATGCGTAAACAGTTCATTGTGTGTATCTTTAAATCCATGCGAAAATTGAATTTCTAGATTAATTAATCCGTGTATTTGTGTCAACCCTATGAGCACTGTTTCAATGAACTTGGCGTCCCATTTGCCGTCAATATAGACATCCATAGATTGCAAACAAATACTATTTTTATAAGTATTCACAAATTTTTTATACTCATCAATGTTATAGACGTTAAAAAAGATGTGTCTTAACTTCGGCAACAAAAGCATATGTTCAGACGTATTTGTATCTAGTACACTTAGCTTGGGATAAATATCGACACGACACACATTCACGCAATACTTGAAATTATTAACAAAAAAATTTTCAATCGTTTTCTGATTCGTTGAATCCATGATTATAATTATGTGTAAAGTTTTGGCAAACTTTTCAAAAAACTTTCTCAACGTCTCGTCGCTTATATTATAACGAAACACAAAATTAATGGCATTTAAATGATTGCAATGTTTTATAATTGACTCCATGTTGGCGTTATTTACATATAGTCTTGAATACCAACAAAACACTCCGATCTTGGTGATATGTTTACACTTTTCAATGTTTTATCAAAGGATATGTCATCTACTTTGTAATTCACGTCGATCATTAGAGATGTCTGTTCGTTATATACGACTCGTTGCCACTGTTTGCACAGACATTCAAATCGGAAACTGTCCTCAAATGATAGGTAACTCAATAGGAGTTCACACAAGTCATCACCAAATCTGTCAAATGAGTCTTTACTATACATTTCACACATTTTTTGCCGTCTATAATATAATAAAAATAAAAATATGTCTTTTCTATAAGATTCGTAAATATAAATATAATATATAAAATTTTATAAAAGCGTTATAACTCGGTAACTTGCATTATTTAACAAAATTAGTGTAGAAAGTAAAATCAAGTTTTTCTAAATCAAACAGTTAATACACAAAATTACAAACCTCAAATAATATTTTGCAAAACTAAATGCACCTCTAAGTTTATGTAACCCTATATATACTTATGTTTATATGATATGTTTATTTGATTTATTTAATTTCTTATAAGTTTGAAGCTAAATAATATTAAATTAATTTAAAATTTTAATTTATTTAATGATTATAAACAACATTGACGTCTTTCCAAAAATATTTTGGCTACCTAGCCACTTACATTAATAACAAAGTGTTTTAATACTTTTCTCATTAATTAATAAGTTATACACTGCATAATAGTTAGAATTCAATTTACAAAATTTACAACTTACATTTAAAATTGTAATATATCATATTATGGTATACCGTATATATTAACATACAGTATTCAAGTTAAAAGCAAAATAGTTTAAATAAATTATTAGTTTTTTATGACACTGTATAAATTAAAATTTGTTTTTCAATGATAAACACTGCTGACGAAATTGCATAATAAAATATTTTATAGTTTTTTAAACATACAGTTGAATACCTTGTATATTACAAGTGTACCGCAAATTAAACATATAAATATAATACTGTATATAAAATGTATTTATTGTATAATTTTTTTATACAAACTACTTACACGCAAATTGTAAAATCATTAGAAAATAATACAATAGTTATAGTATTTATTATATTATATTATTATTGTATCATATAAAATACATTTTTGAGTAAATTATGAGTAATATTTTTTTATGTCTTTAAACAATTTGAAATAAATAATTTTTAAATAATTTTGTAAGTAAATAAGAATATTTTAAAAATTTAATTTGTTTTAATAGTTTAATGTGTAATTTTATTATTAAATTTTTAATATGTTTAAGATAATAATTAAATTTTTATTAGTTTTCATAATAATTACAAAATATAATAGTTAGGAAATAACACAGCTTGATTTTCTATTATACAAATACATATCATTTCCGTTAATATGAATCCCAATAATCTTCGGACAGTTATCCCACAGATTCTTGAGTGCCGTTCGTGTGAACCCTTGCCTACCATAGAGTCTAATGTATTGAATATCTGGTAGTTTTGCCACAGAATTCAATACACTGTCAGTGATCGCCAGTTCCCCAGAAATTGTCAAATACTGGAGTTTCGGAAAGTTTTCATTCATTTGTTTGAAAAACATCTCATTTACATGACTATGAAGTGTTAAATGTGTTAATCGTTTGTAGGATTTATTACTGAATACAAAATTGTGAGTAAAATGTTGAGTCATTTCTAAACGAGTTATGCGTTTAGTGTTTGATAGCATTTGATGTATATTTTGCTTACATTTACCGTCAATAGTAACCATTTGTGTGCAAAATATGTTCAAACTTTTCAGATGTTTTAGTTTTAGCACCAATTGATTCAATAAATGTGTAAATAGTGTCATATGTGTGTTATTATGAGAAAATAAGATTTTCAAATGTATTAATCCGTGTATTTGTGTCAACCCTATGAGCACTGTCTCAATAGACTTTGCATCGCATTGACTGTCAATACAGACATCAATTGATTGCAAAATATTTTTATAACTTTTCACAAACTTTTTAAACACATTTGAGTTCTCATTATTGCACACAAAATATATTTTCCGTAATTTCGGGAACAAAACCGCATTTTCATTGCTTTTCATCAGTATATTAAGGGTATGATTATAGTGACTATAATACAGCCTAATATCCGCCAAATTGTTACAAAACTTTAAGTTATGGCCGAAAACTGTTTCAATGGACTGATCCTGAGATAAATCCTGCGTTTGTATTGATTTCAAACTTTTAGCAAACTTTTCAAAAAACTTTCTCAACGTCTCGTCGCTTATATTATAACGAAACTCAATATTAATGGCATTTAAATGATTGCAATGTTTTATAATTGACTCCATTTTGGCGTTATTTAAGAGTAGGCTTTGATCCGTGATTTGAATTTTGGTGATATGTCCGCACTTTTCAAGTATTTTGTCAAACGGTTTGTCTTTTACGGTATGTTTGAAACGCCAGTCCAGTATCAGAGATGTCTGTCCCGTGTATACGAATCGCTGCCACTGTTTGCACAGACATTCAAAACGGAAACTGTCCTCAAATGATAGGTAACTCAATAGCACTTCACACAAGTCATCACCAAATCTGTCGAAACTTTGTTTACTATACTTTTCGCACATTTTTATTGTCGTTAACTCTATAATAAAATTAAAATCAAATATATTAATAGTGTAATGAGTTTAGCATTATTGTTGAATATTATTACATTAAAAAAAGACTTTTAATACATACTTGATCTTGTTGAGTTTTTAGTCAGAAAATATTTCCCCGAGTAATTAACAATAAGGCATATACTGTACTAAATGGTATGTATTAAAATTACATTGCTTAATTTAAAAGTAAATTATCAAACACAAAATCCTACTACAAAATATATGATTTAGCGTGTTTATTATTAAAAAGTACTTTATATAAAGTTAATTAAATGATATAAATTAAACTTATATAATCTTTAAAAGCTAACCTAACATTTCTAACTAATCAATTTTAATTGATCAAACATTAAAAATACATCTTTAGAAATATTTTAGGAATATATTACAGTTTGAGATATAAATAAAAACCTTGATGACGTAAATGTTGATTCAATGTTAACTTGTAACTTGTTTATTTTGTAAACTCCGACATCTAGTTACTTAGGTAATCGTTACATTATCATAAACAACTAAGCGCTAAGTCTAAAACTTTTAATTATTTAGTAATACTGTATTGTATTATTTGTATTTCATTACAATTATGAAGTAGTTTTTAAATTAAATTAATGAATATATTAACTGACGATTACACAGCACTATAACCTAGTACAGTAAATATTATGTAAAATAACTCTAAACTGTATTTAAATTATAATAAAAATCATTTATAAATTACAAATTGTAAAGCATGACTATGTTAATATAATATAAATATAACATTATTATTATGATTCATTTATTTTTGTTATGCTAAAATATCTTTAGACTGTATCAGTAATACTAATTTAGTACCCTGTATAAACTACTGAAATATAATCTACAATACACTTGGTAACAAAAACTCATAGCAACACAACGATAATAAAGAGTGAATTGTTTTTGAGATAAATATTTTTATTTTACAAAACATTTAATTAATATTAAACTAATGCCGGGCTATGAATGCGATCGGTTTGTAGGGCTAAGCGCCGCCGACATACAGGAGCTGTCGTGCAGTATATGTCTCAACATATTTCGGGATCCAGTGGTCTCCCAGTGCTGTCGACAGACCTTTTACAGGGATTGTATCACTGATTGGCTCCAAGAAAATACTGTCTGTCCTTATGATCGGAAAACCCTAAATGTGAATGAACTACATATGCCACCTAGGTGAATAAGATTTCTAAATAAAATTATTTTAAAATACTTAATTAAGTTTATTTTAATCAGGGTATTTGAGGCAATGTTTGGCAAACTTGAGATTAAATGTCAGTTCAGTGATAATGGGTGTCCATCGGTGGTACCGTTGGATCAGTTGTCACAACACGTGGACTCGTGTCCATACGATGCGTCCAAATGTGGGAAATGTTTTTGTGAACAAACCTCTGGACACGACTGCATACAGGCGTTACTCGCACTCAACCGGACGACTAATAACGAGATTAAAACATTAAATTTGAAACTCGAATCTTATATGACCAGGGTGTTATATGCTGTTAATATACCGCAACCTAGTACAAGTGCTCCTGTAAGTAAATACTTGTTCAATTTTTTATATAAAATTATTTTGAAACAGAAATTAGGTATACTAGCATGCTAAACATTTTTGTAAAAGTTATGTGTTAAGTAGAAATTAAATATAATTTTTAACATTAAACATTATTTTTATATTATAATATTTTATAATTTTTAAAAGTAAATAAATTAAAATAATACCAAGTCAATTAATAAATGCAGTAGATTTATGTTATATTTGCATTTGATTTTAGATTAAAATTAATAATTAGTGTTGAATTAATTTGGAGTAATCTTTGCAAAATCTAAATGTAATTTATTTCCATAAGATATTAAACTATTTTTTGTATTTCAAAAACAGGTATCAATTGAATCAATACTAACGACTGCCAGGAGTGAGAGGTTTAATGCAGTGATCGTTGGGTGCGATATGAAGGATGACATCCGACACAAAGTACTCGTTATAGTGGCCGAGGAGTTGATGAATGACATCCAATTGGGAAAGGTATGTCAAAAATATAGTCCACAAATTGGACCGAAAATTTGGTGGCTATTGGAACTGTATATTTGATCACAAAGAGGGAGTATCCAGGTAATTTACTTACCAGAATGGTAGCTGGGTCAGGTTCTAAATCTGCCAGCTCACATTTGATATTTATAAGGGTTTTAAGTAAATGATAATAATAAAAATTATAGTATTAAAAATCTTTAAAAGAATATAATTGTTAATATGCTAAATAAATTGTATCTATTTTAATTAACATATAAATTATTTAATAAAAATAAATGTTATAAGCATTTTATTAAACATAGTTTGTGCAAGTAAATTCATGTACTGTATTGCTGTACATGTTAGAAATGTTAGCTACTGTTATAATAATAATAATAATATATAAATATTTGTTTGTTTAACAATTTACCTGTTTGTAAATCACTATTATAATAAAGTTTTCAAATAGTAATCAATTATTCAATTTATTGTGACATTTGATGCTATGATTTAAAAAGTGTGTTAAAGTCTTGAGCGATGAATGCAGTGTTAAGTATTATACGCGAGAAGTGTTACGGAATAGCAGTTTCTTATGTGAGATAATTGTTTGCAATGTATATAGTGTTGGCAACAATTAAATTAATGCTCTCTTAGTGTTGACTCCAATAGTGACAACGAAATTGTATTATAAATACATTTGGCATACATTTTATTGTATTCATTAGAATAATCAGAATTAAGTTATAAAAATATTTTGTGCTCTCTCTCTCTCTCTCTCTCTCTCTCTCTTATTTATTTAAAACATCATATTTGTGATAAACAACAATTGAATGCATTGTCATTTACATTTATTATTAATAATATTATTGAAAATGCATTCAATTGTTGTTTATAATACAGTATTATATTATCTACTGTATATAATAAATTACCTGCCTTATTGCATCAATGTACGGAAATACAATATAATTTAAACAAAGCTAATAAAATAGTTTAAGTTATTTAAGGGTGATTCAGTACTATACAATGGTAAGCTGTATGATTACCGCTATCTAAAAAACAAAATATTATACTTATAAGTAATAAAACTATAATAACTAATCAAATATAACACATTGCAACTCATGTATTACAACTAGTTTATTATTATTGTATTTTACAAAATATTTAATTTATTACAAACTAATGCCGGGTTATGAAAGTAATCGGTTTGTAGGGCTGAGCCCGACTCACATCCAGGAGCTATCATGCAGTATATGTCTGAACATAATCCGGGATCCAGTGGTCACCCCGTGCTGTCATCAAACCTTTTGCAGAGATTGTCTCATTGAATGGCTGAAAGAAAATACTGTCTGTCCTTACGATAGGAAAACCCTTAATGCGAATGAACTATATAAACCTCGTAGGTAGGTTACTTTTTAATAAATTACTTTATATTTAATTAATGATAATGTTAATTTAATGATATTGAAATTATCAGGGTATTTGAAGACATACTAGGCAAACTTAAGATTAAATGCAAGTTCAGTGATAATGGTTGTCCATCGGTGGTACCATTGGATCAGTTGCCACAACACGTAAACTCCTGTCCATACAATGCGCCCAAATGTGAGTCCGACTATGAATGCGATCGGTTTGTAGGGCTAAGTGCCGCCGACATACAGGAGCTGTCGTGCAGTATATGTCTCAACATATTTCGGGATCCCGTGGTCTCCCAGTGCTGTCGACAGACCTTTTGCAGGGATTGTATCACTGATTGGCTCAAAGGAAATACGGTTTGTCCTTATGATCGGAAAAAGCTAACTGTTAATGAACTTCATAAGCCATCTAGGTGAATTAATTTTTTAAATAAAATTGTTTAAAAATACTTAATTAAGTTTATTTTAATCAGGGCATTTGAGGCCATGTTTGGCAAACTTGAGATTAAATGTCAGTTCAGTGATAATGGGTGTCCATCGGTGGTACCGTTGGATCAGTTGCCACAACACGTGAAGTCGTGTCCATACCATGCGTCAAAAGTATACACAAAGTCCAAAACTACAAGGTGAGTTAATTATTTTAATATAATTTAATGTTAGGTACTATATTATTTGTATTTATTATATTTAGGGTATTTGAAGCTATACTGGGTAAATTTAAGATTAAATGTAAATTCAGTGATAATGGGTGTCCATCGGTGGCACCATTGGATCACTTGTCACAACACGTGGACTCGTGTCCATACGATGCGTCCAAATGTGGGAAATGTTTTTGTAAACAAACCTCTGGACACGACTGCATACAGGCGCTACTCGCACTCAACCGGACGACTAATAATGAAATTAAAACATTGAATAAGAAACTCGAGTCTTATATGCCCAGGGTCTCATATGCTGTCAATATACCACAACCTAGAACTAGTGGCCCGGTAAGTAAATTTCAATATAAATATTTTTTTATTTAAACTTATATTGACCAAAATTATACATAACATGTTTAAAAAATATGAAGTTTATGTCACAAAACTTATATGTTATTTACAAATTAAATGCAATATTTAACGTTCTGGATTAATTTTTGCAAAATTTTAATGTAAAGTTAATTTATTTCTTATAAGATATTGAACTATTTTAATATTAGATTTATGTTATATTTGCATTTGAATTTTAAACGCAAATAAATAATTGATGTTAAATTAATTTGGAGTAACTTTTGCAAAATCTAAATGTAATTTATTTCCATAAGATATTAAAATATTTTTTGTATTTCAAAAACAGGTATCAATTGCATCGTTACTATTAATAATGACTCTATTGGCTATTGGAACTGTATCTGTGATTACAAAGAGGTAGTAGCCAGCTATGTTACGTACAATAAAGGTTTCTGGATTAAGTGCAAAATTGGCCAGCTCATATTTGATATTTATAAGGGTAAGAATTAATTGTTAATAAAAATTTCAGCATTACAAAATCTTAAAAGTAAAATAATTTTATTATGCTATATAAATTGTATCTATTTTAATTAACATATAAATCACTCATATAGTAATTGTTAGTTATTTTTAATAGACTATCAACAGAAGTAACGGTGCGGTAAGGGATTCACAGGTGGTTGTCATCGTAAGGACTCTTAAACACCATATTTGTGATAAACAACCATTGAATGCATTTTTAATTGTTGTTTATAATACAATGTTACTGTATATGTGATCTTGAAAACAAAGCTATAGAAAATAAAATAGTTTCAGGGTGATTCAGCACTATCCGATTGTAACCATTATCATTACCGCTATCTAAAAAACAAAATACTTTTAAGTAATAAAATTATGATACATAATAACATATAACAAATTGCAACTCGGTTATATAACTAGTTTAATATTATTGTATTTTACGAAATATTTAATTTATTATAAACTCTGGACATGACTGCATATAAGCCTTACTTGCACTCAACCGGACGGCTAATAATAAGATTAAAACATTGAATCATAAACTCGAGTCTTATATGCCCAGGGTCTCTTTATGAGACTCTTATATCATGCTGTTAATAAAGCACGACCTAGAAATAGTGCTCTGGTAAGTAAACAATATCATCTTTTTATTTAAAATTATGTTGACACAAAAATTATACATAAAATGTTACTAACAAGTAATAATATGAAGTACCGTATATTTCACATAACTTAGGCGGCGTGCACAAAGTACGTACGCAAAATTTTGGTCAAAAATTGACCCCCCCTCCCCTATACACGCCCATCGTACATAGGAATTTAACATGGTGACATACCAGAGCACTATTTCTAGGTCGTGCTTTATTAACAGCATGATATAAGAGTCTCATAAAGAGACCCTGGGCATATAAGACTCGAGTTTATGATTCAATGTTTTAATCTTATTA